GTGCTGGGTAACCTGCTATTCAATGGATCCACTCCGGCCAGCAATGCATACTACTCCCTGACGGTGACGCGTTGGTTCACCGCACTGACAGCCCAGCAACGTGTCTTCAAACTGCCGTTTCAAACAGCAGGCAGCCGATGGCAAGCACCCATCTTGAGGCTGCTTGGAGCCCGCGTGGGTAAGCGCTTCTTCTGCATGAACGAGCTGGTGCTGGTGGATGCTCCCTTCACCGAGATCGGCGATGATGTCACGGTGGACTATGATGGACAGGTGAGATGTCACTCCTTCGAGGACTTCCGCTTGAAATTCACCCACTACAACGTGGGAAATCGGGTGACCATCATGTCAGGTGCCAGCGTGGCGATGTGTAATGCTGGAGATGGTGCCGTGCTTCGTCCAGGCAGTCTCAGCTGGAAGGGGAGCCACTTGGAGCCGGACACCGTCTATGAGGGTGCTCCTGCAGCGGCCCTTGATGACCTCGAGCGGGGTGCGCCTGCGCCTGCACGTCCCACCCTGCTGCAAGGGAAGCCGAAGCTTGCAACGGAGAAGAAGTGAAATCAAGTTGGAGAAATTTGGAGACTCAGGCCTGTCTCGTCTCAGCGAGGGCTGGAACTTGGCATGCACGGATGCACGACACTTTTCATGAAGCTGCCTGCCAACCTGTATAGTTGCATGCACCCTTGTACAGCTGAGTGCAGATGTTGAGTGAGTCAGAAGGACCCAACACAAGAGTGACCCAATGAGTTCTCTTGCTTTTGACCTTGGCCCCATGGCAGTCCCTGTAAAGTGGTGTACAGACGCAAGCACAATCGACTTGAGGATTGAATCACATGCACATCCCTGATGAGGTCGCATGATTGGTTCGATTGCGTCTGCTGTCGCAGCATATACAGTGGTGTGCATTGGCAGGCCGCAGCATCCGCAGAGGCGGCCGCGCTTCGGGCAAGGGTGCAGCAATTGGAGGCCTTCCCACCACGGACAACGCAAGCTGTTCACAAGCTGTTCATATCTAAGGATTGTTTGTCTGCAGCACTTGTGCAGATGAGTGTGCAGGAATCCACCGCCTCTGCCAGCGATGGTTTGGAAGAACTTCGTCAGAAGGTGAACGAGGCGGAAAACGAGTTCTCTAAGCATGATTGAACCGAGGGATCTGTGCAATCCGGCGATCAAAGAGAGGATTCGCTAGCAGCCGCTAGCAAAGCTGGAAGTTACTGAGGGATTGCAGTAGAAAATCACAGAAGCCCTTTGCCAGTGTGTTGCTAGCCAGCTCAAGTCCGCGTGTGAGGCAGCCGCTGGAGCGGGTGCGGCGCAAGCAGCAGAGGCATCCACTCTGGGGAAGACTTGTGCGACGGCCTCTCATATGCTTGGAGCAGGGTTGGTCGGGTTAAGTTGCGTGAAGTTAGCGCCATGCCCATCCCTCGTAAATCCTGTAAAGTCGGGTGTCCGCTGGAAGCAGCCACGATTGAAGAAGAGTCGGCGTCAATGAGCCTCTTCCGAGATCTGGGATTGATTCTCACATGCTTGCCCTCAGCCAGAGCACTGGGCAAATTTGCACTTTCGTTTCCTTTTTTCTTTCCTTTGCTTGTCTCATGACGCCTTGTTCGGATGACCCCTTGTTGCATTTTCATTTATGTCATTCCACGGTGGCTCGAGCAATTTGTCGCAATACCCTGCACCTCTCAACACTTCGATCCTCAAAGCTTTGCTTTGTAAAGTTGCAATGGCTGTGATCGATGTTGCGCCAACGCTTGAAGAGCTGGCGCTTGTTGATGTGAGCGGACAACAGTGCATGCCGGGTGTCGAAACCAACTTGGCTGAACTTCTTCTGACTGCCGCAGAAGCAACACCAGATAGAGTGTGCTTGGAAGTCGAAGCTGAAAGCTACACTTTTGCACAGGTGGGGTAGGACCCCGCTGCCAGCAGTCTTTTTTGAGATTGTTGGACATTTGAGGGATGTTTTGTCGATAGCCCAAGACAGCTTTTGGAAGCTCACGCATGTCACGGATTGAAAGCGCTTTGCTCCTTGAGGTGGCTCGCATGGCCAACTCCATCCGCAAGGTTCTTCGCAAAGCGTTGGCCTCCTTGGATCTGCCAAGCGATTCAGACGAGGTGCCAGAGCCTCACCAGCGCCGAGCAGACGAGCATGTGGTGACCATCGTGCTCGACCGCGGTGTGAAGAGCATCGCAGCTGTACATGCGGTGATGCTTGAGAGGTGTGCTTACAACGCTTTCGACGTTGGAGAGCCGGTGGAGAAGCTTCGAAGCTGGGTGGAGGTATCTCGACCGCCTGTGATGATTTCCGACGCTGCTGTCTTAAAACGCCTTGGTTTGACAGACATTGCTGCGACTTTGGGGGACTTTCCTCGGATAGTCTTAGATGTGGACTTGGCGTTGCAGAAGACCGACAACAAGTGCACGCTTGCCTGTCCCCCCAAGCATGATGAGAACGACCTCGACAGACTGGCCTACCTGATTTTCACTAGTGGATCTACCGGAAAGCCAAAGGCCGTGATGATCCGTCACAAGTCAGCGTTGAACGTGGTTCGCATCTGGGGCAAGTACGTGGGTCTTGGGTCTCACGATCGATTTGCGCAGGTTGCTTCAATGTCTTGGGATGTCCACATCATCGAAGTTTACGGCACCATGTCAGCAGGAGCCACCAGCGTGACGTGCCCCGACATGATTAAAAAGTCAGGTCCGGACATGCAAGTGTGGCTGAAAGATCGAGAGATTACGGGCATGAGTGTGGTCCCTTCGCATTTGCGCACCATGGCTGGTGGTGGAGCAGATGTATCAAGGACCTCCGCTGGGCTTCCGCACCTCCGCATCCTTGATGTGGGAGGCGAAGCATTGGGAGCAGACGTTGTATCCACTTGGGCTCCCGGTCGACGTCTCTTCAACAGCTACGGGCCTTCGGAGATTTCTGTAGTCTGCACAGGTGCTTATGTGAATCCAGGTGATGTCATTACAATCGGTGCTGAGCTGCCGACCTACACATGTTACATCGTGGACCCAGAGAACCTTGACATCAAGCCGGATGGAGAGCGAGGTGTGCTGTTCGTGGGAGGTATTGGTTTGGCCCGTGGTTACCTCGAAGAAGAGGAGAAGACCAAGGCCAAGTTCGTCGAGTTGCCTGGCATCGGCCGTGTGTACAACACGGGAGATCTCGCTTCCCGCGACCAGTTTGGCCGCATCCACTACCATGGTCGAGTGGATTGGCAAGTCAAGGTACGTGGGATTCGCATCGAGCTGGAAGCATTGGAGCAGGCCATCATCGAGTTGCCCTCTGTGAAGCATTGTGAGGCGCCGGGCTCACAACGCGCCCAAGCGCGCCCAAATCATCCCAAATCATGCCAAAGGTTCCGAAAAGGTTTCAGGATAGGTGGTTGCCTTTTGAACCTCTGCCTGGGTGTCATGGGGTAGTTGAAAAGTTGAGGTATGAATTTTCCGAGGGACGCTACTCTGAATCCCGCGTCCCAAGCTTTGGTTGCAGCTCGTTGAGTGTTGCCCCCCTAGGCCCGCGTGCTGGACAACGGCCAGCGCTTGGTTCTCTTAGCTTCTGGACAAGACGTGTCTGAGGCCGAGCTCAAAAGTCAAGCTGCCTCGCTGGGGCGTGGCTATGTTCTAAGCCAAGTGAAGATTGTTGAGAACGACGCGTGGAAGTTCAATGCTTCTGGGAAGCTGCTGCGGAATGTGGTTTCCTTGGGTGAAGAGGAAGCGTCGGAAGTGAAGAAAGACGCCTGGGAAGTCTTCGAGAAGGCCGGAGTGTCGGATCTTGAGCTGGAGATCGCAGCGTGCTTGGCTCCACAGCTGAGTGTTGACAGTTGGAACCGGGATTCTCATTTCATGGAGGATCTTGGTGTTGACTCTGGGGGCTTTGGACGACTGATCTCTCAGACGAGGTCTAAGCCGAGCTTGCAGAAGATTGATTTGCAGATGCTCTTTGAACATCCAACTGTTCGATCCTTGGCAGCGTGTCTCTCCGCACAATCAGCAGAATCGGACTCCGAGGATGAGGTCATTCCGCTGGAAACAAACACCTTGCTGGACTCCTTCCTTTGCGCTGCAGAGCAACATCCCCATGCCATTTGCTTGGAGGTAGGCCAGCAGTCCTTGAGCTATCTTCAGCTGCGTCGGCAGATGATGGCTTATCAACGGCTGCTGCATCAAGCCAAACCCTCCAAGGGAAGCCTGGTGGCGATTCGCCTTGACTCCGTGGACAAGCTTGGTGCCATGCTGGGAGTTCTCAGGGAAGGCTGTGCCTTCAGCTTTCTTGGAGATGATTTCGCGGAGCAGATCAAAGTGCTGAAGCCCCATTTCATCTTGGCACGCTCCGATGACAGCACTTGGGCCCAGCTGTGGAAGCTTTGCGATTCCAATGACACGAGCATGCTTGTGGACGTGAGCTCCGCCGACTCCTTGCTTTCGCATGCCCCGAAAGCGAGGAAAGCACCACAGGCCGATGACGTGTGCTGCGTCGGGCTGGAAGTTCGGGGAGGTGTGCAAAGTGCAGTCCCTGCGTCGCACAGCACTATGTTGGAGGCTCTCGCCACATGGCGTCCCCTGGTGCAAGGCACCCGAATCTCCAGCGTCACCAAGCCAGGCTCTGCGGGTGAGATTTTGAGCACTTGGAGCATTTTGGTTTCAGGCGCCACGCATGTGGTCTGCCAGGCTGAAAGGATACCACAGGCACGGCTTGAGCTGCTGATCTGCGAACATGACGGCATTCCAGGTCGTGTTGCAAGGCAGGCAAACCTCTTGCAGATTCCGGCCGAGGGTGGCTTCAAGGCAGTTCCCGAGGCGGTGTCCGAGTTTGGTCGTGCTGGAACTGCGGAAAGCTTTCGCTCGCGAGCTCTTCGATCTTCGTCCTTGCTGTCCTTGGCCTCATCTTTGGCGCCATATGTGCTTGGGCGAAGCCAAGAAGAAGACCCCAAGAGCTTTGGCAAGCACAGTCGGCCGGTGCTTTGTGGCGCTGTGCAAGGCATGGCCATTCTTGGGCAGCCCGTCTTTGTTGCGGCTCGTCTATTGTTCGCGGAAAGAGTGATGTTACCCTTGGCATTCGTGTTGCCTCTGTGGCAAATCTTCCTGGTGCTTATCACAGTCCTGACACTGGAGCAGTTCGTTCGAGTTCTGATGCTGGTGGCTCTGAAGTGGTTGTTGATTGGTCGTTACAAGGAGGGCGATCACGACATCTACAGCCTGTTCTACCTGCGTCACTGGTTAGTTGAACACGCGGCCAAAGGTACCATTGTGGGGCAGAATGCACATCAGGGAAGCAGCATAGCCTTCCTCTTCCTGCGGAACTTGGCCTTGAGAGCTCTCGGTGCTGACGTTCGCTTGACTTCAGTGGTTACTGCTCGTGTTGTGGCCTATGACCTCGTGTCCGTCGGTGACCTCGCCACGGTTCACGGCCCCCGACATCTGACGGCGGTGAACTATGGCAGCAGGCGCATGGTTCTGAAGGCTGTCAAAGTTGGTGCAGGCGCTTACGTAGGCCCGAACTGCACCTTGGAACCTGGCTGTGAGATTGCCGCTGCCGGATATGTGGAGCCATTGTCTTCGGTCCCTGCTGGAATGATCGTGGACAGCCGCGTCTGTGGCGTTCCTGCGCAAGTTGTTGGCCCAAAAGATCTGAGCAGGTTGCCTAAAGCAGCAGAAGTTCGCAGCTTCCGAACTGGCGCGGCGCTGTTTGCCACGGCGTATTGGATGCTAATTCTTCCCAAAGCTTTGATGCCATTCATGGGAGTCATCGCGTTCCAATTGCTCAGCTTGTATCCTTGGGACCAGCAGGAGGTCCTGCAGGAGAAAACCATGTATCCGGAGCACACGGATTTGCTGCCCGCTGAGCTGCTGGACCAGCTCAAGTGGATTCCACTGATCGCCTTCGGGGTTTCCATGCTGAACACGGTGCCGCGCTCAGTTGTGCTTTCGTGAGTTCCGTTGTCCGTGAATGGCACTTCCTTCAGCTGGTTTTGCCCAGCGCTGTTTTCAAGAAAGAAGTTGTTGGAGCGGGGAAGTGAAGAATACGACAGGGCTTGATGCTGTTGCCTGAGGTTCTTCAGCTTGGTGGAACGGCCTTGCTGTGCCGGGTTTTGCCCAAGGTGAAGCCGCCTTGCACATATTCTTTGCTGAGCATCAGGGCGCAGATTGCCGCCTTGAAGATGTCGATGGTGCTGCAGGCATCGGAGATGCTGGCGGATGCTTCCATCGTACCTGCTTTCATCCGCATGTGTGGTGCTACCTTCGGGCACGGATGTGCCATGGGCCTGCAGGCGCGCATCTCTTGAAAATCAACTCTTTCAAGCTTCAAGCCTGAACTCCTGCCTTCTCACGTAATCAGATTCCTAGAGATCCGCTGCGAAAGTAGCTGTCCTTTCTGGAAATTGAGACGGGCTGACGCGTAGATGCAGAGGGTGGAATAAGGGGAAGTTTGAACACAACGCTTTCATAAGACGGAGTCTTCTTCTTATTTACATGTTTTTACTTTTTTTACTGAATGCAGGTGACGCTTCCGGAGACTCTGGTGGTGGGCAAGGGCTGCTTCTTTGCCACTGGCAACATTTTGACCAGCGTGGATGTTGACCAGGGGAAGTTCAACGTGCCGTGCATCACCTACATGAGCCCCTCGGTCGAAGTTGGTGTAAACTCAGTTGAGCGAAGGCTCTTCTTAAATCTAATCAGGTCGCGAAGCATCACCAAGCACTAGTGATGAGTTGCAGTCTATCATGCTGTAGGCGCTGTCTCTGGTCCAGTGATCCACTGCGCCACATCCCCACATTGCCCCCCATTGTCATGTCCCAGGCGATCACACCTTCCTTGGAAACCACAACCACTTGCCGGAGGGTTTGCCCGAGGGCAGCTTCTGCGGAGTGGGGACTTGGTTGCCAAAGAGGCCCACGGAGCC